ACTTTCAGTGAAAGGGTCACTACACAATTTATTGGCTTTTGTTGGTGTAATTTTTTTTCTTTTCATTACTCTAACCCACTGTTCCAAGAGCTTTTCATTTTTCAGGGGAAATCCAAAGACAAAATCACATAATAAAAAGACAAACCGATTTAGCAATCCACCGCAAATTACCCAAAAAACTGGACGTTTCCTCCTGGTTTAAACCGATTTGTACACCCAAATGCGGAACACGATGCCGGCATATTTCGCTTTTAATAAACCAACACTTTTTGGAACTATACTTTAATTCATATATACATATATATATAGCATATATTTAGCACTATTTTCCTAATATATTACCAAGCGATCATACATTGACAGCAATGTTTTGCCTTTCTGACAAATGGCGGCCACTCGACCTTGAAGCTTCACTTCTCTCTGCAGCGCAGTGTTAGGTAGTCGGATATCTAGGTAACTTAATTTATAGTAGTCCAAAAGGTATAAGGTTATATGGCCATCATAAAATTATCCCATTGTGTCGAAGTTAAGTTGTTTACAATAGAAAAGGTTTTAGGGTCGTAAATAACGTGTCCACTGCAGCTCGACCGGCTGTTGAGGTTTCCTTCAGGGGCGGCTCTCACTAAATATGTAAATCCACCACTCCATTATTTCTTTACTACCTGCAGCGGCTGAGGGTTCCGAAATAATCACTCGCTTTGAAAGCCGGCCCTGTTAAATGTGAGGAAGAAATGTTTAGAAGACGATTTATTGCCAACTGGTAAGCTTAGTGCGAACCACACAAAGGGGGTATTTATTTGCGGTCAACTACTTTATAACCTTATACCTTTTGGACTAGTATAACATCTATGAACTGCCCTCACCTACACTAATGCGTGCACATGCGCACTTACAATACGTTAAACGTTCAAATTTGAACAAGCAATTTAGGTGTTTCTATATTTTTGGCCGTGATAGTACATATTATTGACCGGGAGTCACAGAGTACGTATTAGTGGAAATAACCTTTTTATTTTGAGGGCACATTTTGGTATATACCTAGCTCTTTATTACTTTATAAAGTATCCTACGTTGGTATTCAAACTAATGGACAGGGTAAATAAAAATTCAGCAAGAGATTTTTTTAGAAAACATAAAACAGACGTCTTGGTCTGTTTAGTTACAAAATCGGATGGTAGATGATGTTAGTTACGCCAAGCCGCAAATTTTTTAGGTTAGCAGAATCAATTTACAATACAGGGTGTTATTGAAAGGTACGTACAACACAATGGACAGTTCTTCGCGAAGTCAAACAGGTCTGAAAAACTTATTTTGTGTTATCAAAATTATAAGGGGAGAATTAACCCTTATCCAACCTTTCTAGACGCTACTGAAAGATAAATAGGTAAAATTAATTTATTTTAGTAAATCCTAGCAACTGTAACAATAAAACTTTTGTCAAGATTAAATGTTGCTATAGAAACGAGAGATGCTCTTTTTTCAGAGGCGTACAACGAATTTGGACATAAATTTTAATAATTTTTATCTCTAAAAGGCGAACACTTTTACCTGAACTTTTTTTGACTTTTAGCATCCACACTTCTAGACCAATTGCCGATTTTATTTTGTACGTACCTTTCAATAACACGCTGTATATTGTGACGGCCGTACGGAGCGGAGCGGAGGCAGATTAAGTTGGCGGTGATAACTAATATAGCAAGTCGTGCGATATAGTAATGTCTTCGAACGTAAGGCGTTATATTCTTTTCAGCGAGTAAATAAGATGATTTGAATTCCATGCTTTCAAATATATAAAAGCAAGCACATTTCGTACAGTTTAGTAATATTATTAATTCAGACACATCAATCTTTGTTTTAACCTTAGATCATATAATAAATAGATACCAACACACCGTGTACTTTCCTTAGGAGAGCCTGTGACGACATCCTCCTATCACACATCTCTCTTGTACATAGAGAAATTACAATGAAGCTATCCTTGCCTGATCACTATTTGAATTTAGCGGGCCTAAATCTTAGGAAGTATGTCTGAACCATGGTAGAAGGAGACATGGTATAGGCATACGCATCGGGTGTGACGTCAAGTGGGGTGAAATTAGCGCGAAATTTAAAATACAAACTTTCGTTATCCGACAACTAATTGACGTATTGGACAGAGCAATGACAACTCAAGCTGAAATTCCCTAGACTTCCCTAGCGAAGCTCACAAGAGTCACAAGGTCGTTGATGTCGCCTAACGTCACAAATGGATGCGCAGACCATTTTTAAATTGGTACATCGGATGCCTATACCATGTCTCCTTCTACCATGGTCTGAACTAACTTCGTACGAAAGATGTTGACAGCTTGACTTTATAAATAATTCACAGTAGATAACGAAAGGAATGGTATATTATTGGGTACCGATTGTAAACCGGTATGATTATATCATTTAAAATATGACTTTTGGTCTAAATTCTAAAATTGTTTTTCGTAACAAGAAATTGAAAGAGAGGTTAGAACAAACATCTGTCAAAAGCGATGTGCTGCGCTGGTGCGGTACAAGGATGGAAGTGAAATAAACATATACCGATGAAATGCATATAACAAAGATGACGATGTGGTGATTACACAAGGATAGCGTTATACTACTCCCCGTGATGTAGAAAACGACAACAGATAGCTTCATGTCTAGTCACAGCTTTCAGTCTCAGTACTGGTATCTATTGATTATATTATGATCTAAGGTTTTAACACGATAACAAAAGTGGTTACAGGTTCCTGTAACTCCCGAAGTAAGTGCCATCTTTTGATATTTTCCCTTTTGACAAGTCGGACGAGTGTAACAGGTCCGTGAGTGTAACCAATTGGAGAGACTTTAATAGCGAATCAACAAAGACGACCGCTATACACTTCCCAAGGGTAGCAAGCGTTATCTGTGTTTCTTACTAATTTGACATCGGTGTCAGTCGTATCCACACAATTTACTATATTAGGTGTTTTTTTGTAATTTTTTTTTTGTAATTTTTGTCTCAGTAGAAATAAACATATTGAGTGGTATTCATAAAAATAAGGATGTCCTTATAAGCAAATGCTTATTTCTATATTCATAATGAAATACTTAGGCCATAAGGATTTGCTACCTGTTGAGTGAACTGCATCATGGTCGTTTCCAAGAAATAACAAAAAAACTTTACCACCATCGTAGCCAAGTACAAATATCAACGATTTTTTTTTGTTTGACATCGCAAGTTCGCAAGTACGGTTAGGAAATAGCATTTCATTTCCAATTTTGTTGTTGTATAGTGCAGACGCAGAATATTTCAAAATGTTTTGCTCAAGTGCTCAAGTAACACCTCCGACAAAGAAATAAATAATAGCGAGGAGAAAAAAAATCTGTGAAAAGCAATGTAGTCATTTTGAGTAAAAGTCAAGTCCCATCAACAAAGACAAAAAAAGACTTAGCTTCTGAAAAACTAAAGAAAGAACTTAGGAATAACTTGAGTAAAAAATACCGAAATAAAATCGATTTTGAAAAAAAACTTGAAGGCGTCTATAAAGAAGAAAACTGATAAACACAGAACTGAAATCCTGGAAATTAATCTTCTAAAACTTTTCACGATAAAATACTTCTTAAATAATTATATACCTGGGTCTGAAACGTATCGCAGAAAAATTTTCATTTTTGTTGTATTATCAATTGTTTCTCCTCGTGTTTCGGCAATTTCTGGGACAAAATGCTCAGAAAGCCATTGTACGCTTTCAGATCAGAAGCGAAATAATTTTACAAAATCTTCCTCCTCAGGGTCAGCGCGCATTTCTTAAAAAAAATTGTTTTCGTGCTAGTTTATTAAACATTTTAATTCCTAGGCTTGTAATAAGCAACTGAAGAACCAGACTGACGTTTTTTTAAGGATATGTTAATTTGTCAAGGAAAAGGTGATGATTTTGAATACCGATGGAAGGAAAAGCTTATACTTGTTACCTAAGATCAAGTTTTTACTTATAAGCATTTACTGAAAATTTTATGAATCTAAACTGAAGGATTTCCTTAAAAACTTACTACAATAAGCAAATGCTTATTACTATGAATACCACTCATTAGTAATTATTGAAAGTAATTTTTTATTCTGCTTCAGAAAATCTAGGTGTTCCATTAAAAAAAAAGTAGTCTCTCAAACCGAGAGCTATACAAAAAGGACAAATGTTGTAATCCAGTCGCCATGTTTAAGTATATATCCAAAGCAAATTTGAGGAAAAAAACTTTGCAAATAACAAAATTATTCGACCGTTCCGGGACTTTGAAAAAAAATCGTTGTTGCCCATTATTAGCTTTTGGCAGAGGTCATTTAGTGGTAAATTATGATTTACCACTAAATGAAGGCTGTGAGCCGCAGAAGGAATTTACAAAGCATGAAATTCGTATCTAAAATTTTTTTTTAATATTTTGTCCTCCCATGTTTGCGCCAATATCGTACCCTTGGCCTCACAAATCATACAGTTCAATATGTATTGATTTTAGAAAATCTAAAAAATAAGTTGCTATCTTTGTCCAGTCGTATCAGACCCGACATTTTTTTGGAAATAATTTACATCTACGGACTGTTTTACCCCGAGGCTGCAAGGGATGCAAGGCGCCCGGGCGCAGGACCCTATGAGCGAAGCCGAACGTTTAAAAATTTGTATAGGATTAATACACCTTGACGTGAACGTCGGAGCGTGGTAATATTAGTTCGTGTATTTATTTTGCAAAGACAAAGAGGGCACAGTCCGCACGTTATAAATCTTAAGAAAACTTACTTTTGATGTGCAAGCTCAAATAGCGCTTAAACCTTAAGAATTTGGGAGGTATATGTAAATATTACTTAATTTTTTTTTCAATGTTCGGATATTCCGACCCTATCGACAAACACGTACGGCGAAATTGCCCATCCAAAGAGATATATGTCAAAGAGCGCCGCACTTGTAGGCCGTAAATATTGTAGTGTAATTGTAAGAAATGGCGAAATGACAAATACTTACTGTTTATAGTTCATCGCAATTCTAAAGAACTGTTCCCTTCGTTTTCTATACACAGGATCCTTAAATCCTGGATGATCTGCATCGAGTTCTGCTCCATACATTAGCACGTTTTGAGCTTGATCCAGTTCTGATATTTTTTTTGGAAACCAAGGCATTTCGTCGAAATCTAGAATAAGATACACTTTTAATCGATCGGCAATATAAAGGTTTCATTAGTACATATAGCTATTCGGTTCTAGCAATTCCGTTTTTATGTCAAAATAATTACCTACTGAGCAATAAATATAAATCTATTATTATCAACATACGAAGTAGCGAAACCATTACGGAGAAATTTTATTATTAGGTTTCCGGTTTTGTATCTACTGCATTAAACCATATACAATTCAGAAGTATATTAGCAAATTGTTGTAATAAGGCTTAACGTTTGTCCCAGAAAATTTTACCCTTGTTTTAATTTTAAATAAAATACAAATTTGGAAACTGTAGAAAATATGCCTTGATGTAACATTGTAGACTTTTTCTTACGAATATACCTACCCACATGTATTTATAATTAACATTGTTTTTGTTAGACTAATTCAGTTTTGCTACTAGAGCGTTTTAAGAACAGAATTTGCAACAAGATTTGAGTAGTATTGTGTTTTTGTTTCTGATTTATGTTTTTTCTAACATTTTTTCAAATGTTAGACACAGAAAAATTATAAAATATAAGCTAAAGGGGGGTGTTTTTTAAATAAAACCTTCAGTTCCATTTTTTTAATGCTGAAAAAGTGAGAAATTCAGAATTAACTAAATACAGAATGTTTAAAAAAATGCGCACCAACTCAATGACACGTTGTTCAGGACCGTTTATGGAGCACAAAAAATAAAAATAAAAAATTCTTTTGTCCAAATGTACAAGATGCAGTCTTTCAAAATTTTATTTTTCTATTCGAAATTGTCGTCATAATTTAATCCACATTTTGTGATGGGTATCTGAAATCGATCTGACTTTCATTATTCAAAATAATTTTGGAGGTATCGTGTCTTAAACTTAAAAATTGGTTAGTACGACTGGCTAATTTTTTAATCTATCTATATTTAAATCGATACCTTGTTTTTGTAAGTGAAAGTCAAAAAATTCCTTACGTCAAGATTTTTTTTATTTTTCTCGAACTTAGTGTTGTAAATTTAATAATTCTCCATTGAGTTGGTGTTACATTTTTTGAATAGCCTGTATATATGTACATATATTTAATAATGAATTATTTGTGTAACTCAATTTCAACGAACCTAATTTTATTCACGAGAGAAATATTTTTTGCTTTTATCCAGTACCCAACTCAATAAAGAGAATGCACAGATTGGCTACAAGAGCGCTTGAAAATCCGAATAATGAATACCAACAACTTCTCTTATCTACTTACCGAAGCTCATAGTTGCCGATAATGGAGTAGGTGGAGGAAATTCGCTCTCGTCGGTATTGCCGTAAGCACCGATGACCATAGTTTGCACTTCCCTTTTAAGAAGACGTCCTAACTGATCTAATTTTCGCTGATCTGTATCTATGTCTACTAAGAAATCGACCTGATTATCGCCAAGTTGCGAGGGACGTGACTCAATATGATTTACGTTAATTCCTAAATCTTGAAATGCTTGAAGGGCCCGAACTAATCCACCAACTTGATTTTTTAGGGTAAAGATTATGGATATTTTTTCTGCTACAGGCTTAGGTTCCTCCTTTGTTGGCTGTGAAAATATGTTAAATATTTACCAATTTTGCTAACATTAAAAAAATAAATAAATCAGAATTTCGAGGTCAACCGTTCAGCGTTTACATATCTGTGCTCAGTTTTGACTCAATTTTTCTGTCAACATAAGGAATTAATTTGTGCAATTAAGTTCACGTACTCGCGTAACACTTGTGGATATTTTTACTTTAGTGCAGTGGTGTACCAACATTCTGTGCGAGGGTGTTTGCTGAACACTTTTGTATTCCCAAATCGCCGTACTAATGTAAGTACTATCGCTTGTTGTTTTTGGCGTCTATCAACGTGTTTCTTCACGGAGGCGAGTGATCGTGGTTTTTAATTTTCTCGCCGTAAGCTAGCTAAGCGTATCATATTTTCTAACGTTTGTCCTTCCATTCCTCACATTGTTATTGAGAACCTTGTTAAGCAAGCAGGTTTTTTCTCTGTTTCCCAAATGTCGTTTCTTCGAGTAGGGATAAAGTCAGATGAATACAAATATGTTTTTAGTTTTCGGAGACAAATCTATGTACAACCTGATGACACACGAGACTTACCTTCATCCCTAGTTGTAGAGTATGAGGAAACGAACTATTGCATCTTCTTGAGTTATGATAACACTTGTTCTAAATGTAGACTCGCAGGCCATTTAGCAAATGATTGTCCGAATATTACTACAGGATCCGGTGTTGAAAACGATCAGAATGTTAATACCCAGTACATGGTATCCTGATACTATTCCCCATGCCCCAGTATCTTTCAGAAGTCGGAAGCAAAAGACCCAGCACGGATGATAGTTTAATTGGCCACGATCCTTTAGATCTATCACTGTGTTTACCCTTTGACGATAGTGATCCGCAACGATCGCAACAAGCAAAAAAATAATTAAACCCTTAGACTATATCGAAAGTTTGACACCAATAACTGATCTGTTATACCCTGCCAAAGAATTGCTAGATAATGCTCAGTACCCACTTAGTTTCGTGCAGATGGTATAACTGAATAAAAGTGAATTTTATCCAACGAAAAAACAGTTTAGCACACGAGGCGAAGCTGAGTGTGATAATGTTTTTGAGTGGATAAAATTCGTTTATTCACGTGTATTATACAAGATTTTTTCCAATTTCGCAAAACTTTTCAAAAAATTTATTGTTTAGGTAATTCATATACATACATATTAATTGGTACTGTTACTAATATGATGAACATTTGAAGAAGGTAAATTGCCTAAGCTGCCTGTACTTTCCGTCACGGTCAAATTCAAACGATGCTCCTGGACTTCATGACGATTGTTTTACAGGAAGTGGACTATCAAGCGTTGCAAATTTTAGTTGAATATCCACACATCCATAGCAACGAAAATTTCAGTGGTAGTGCGAATTTTTAGTTTTTTTTACTTTATTCGTGTTGTCAATGACAGTGTGAATAAAGTGTTGCTATAAACATTTTATGCATCCTTTCGATTAAACTATTGTTTTAATAGCGAGATTTAACATACGAAATGAGCATTTTATTAGTAGAAATTGGAAAAAACAACTTTCGAAATCCTAGAATTACAAATTCGTCTCCTATTATTCTCTAATTTTACCCCATCCCCAAAACCTGGCATAATTAGAATTACCGATCATTTATCCGCACATCACTTGAAAAATAACCTACACTACTCTGACCTACCTGCCAATCTACTTTGACAGATATGATCAAACTGCTCAAGACACATACCAACTTACAAATTCATTCACAATATTACACATATTTACGACCTTTTTAGACCTTAATAGGCCATGTTTTTTTTCCATGTAACATCTGTAATATGTTGTTTCATGCATGCTAGTGTGCCATTTTTTAGGTATCAGAAAAATCGTGTTTTTGCTTTTTTTAAATAAACAAGTAAAATTTTAAAGCCACTAATGCCAAACAGTTACGTTTAATAAAACCTGCGATCAAAAATACCATTTGCAGATCTGCAAAGATAGCGTGTAAGATTGAAACAAGTAAGTTTAGGGATTACTAGTAGGTATATTTTCTGTAACTTACAAAGACCTCGTAAATGTCTGTTTTCAAAATATCTTTAGATATAGGTGAGCGTGCAACTGTCTCAAAAATTCATGTGACCAAAGACGAAAACTTATAAAGTTCATTCTCTGACAAAAGGAAATCAACCGAAATTTTTGATGATTTTGCATTCAGAAAAGACCTGCAACGACTCATTTGGCAATAGAATGAAATTATTGGTCTAAAGGTATTTAGAGAGAACCTCTCTCCTCCCTTAGGTATACGCGGACAAATACAGATTCATCAAAAAATTGCAATTTTTATTATTTTTTTTTTATATACTATAACACCTATAAGTTAAAATAAAGATATGTGTGAGCTGCTGAATTACAGACAAAGAAACGTCCTATTAAGTTTCAAGTAAATTTTTCCATACAAAATTTTAGCAGGGAAACGTATATGCAGTGCAGTGTAATATACTCTTGCAAATTTTGAAACGATTTTTTGATCTGTTAAAGTGATTCTGGAGTGTTAAATTCGGCACCCCTTTAGAGCTGTATTCCGTTATCAAGTCGATTCAACAAATAGTTTTTCTTACGGGCAAAGTTGAAAAAATAACTACAACTGAACAACTGGCGTTGAATACCATTTTATAGGAAATTCAATATTTCAGTGTAGTCGATGCTTTATTGCCATGATGAATTATTATGATGACTGATGTAAGTACTGTCAAATTTAATTTAACCCCGAACATGCCATCGACTGCTTATTTTAATAATGATAAATATCCCTTTTTCAAGAGGAGATGATGCGGACTAGTGTTAGTTATACAGGGTGACGCATCCAAGTTTGGACATAATATTGAGTGATGCATTTATGGAGGTAAAGAAGGCAATCGGCCAGTATTTTTTTTACATCGTTGCATCGCGGCCGTTCACTGTAAAAAGGCTTTAAAAATCCGTCTCAGTCCGACGATCGAATCTTTAGATTAACCATGAAAAATCGAAATGTCAAAGTACAATTAGAAATTATTTCTCGATTTTCAATAAAAAATCACTCAACAACTCAAATTGAATTATTTTATCCAGTCTGATGGTTATTGTAGAACAAATTGAACGAGATAAATGCAGAAATTAATCCATTTATTGGTGTCACTGTCAACTATGTCTATTTTGACAATAAGAAGTAAAGTGGGGTGACAGTTGTACGAATTGCAAGCAAAATTTGTTGAAATCAATTAAAACAGTAATTATTGTTGATAGTGTTGTACAAAGTATTAAATAAAGTAGTTGTTAATTGGATAGTTATAAAAGCTAAAATTGAATTTAGTTGATACGAGAAAAATTTCAGAAACTAAATACCGAGTGACTGTGATTTTTTTTGTCAGATTGGCAACAACTTTATGATGGCGTACCTGATCTTAAATTCAAATTTTGTGCACCAATTTAGTCACTGCCGTCTTCTCATTGGTTTTCAGACGCGCTCATGAACCGACCTTCTAACATTGCTGGCAATAATTCAAAATTACCAACCCAGAAATTCGCTTCAATTGTTAACAATGACAAGGTAGTTAGACTAAAAGTGAAGAGACAAATGACCATATTGAAGCTGCTCTATTTTATATTAATTTAAACGTAAACTAAATAAAATTAAATTAGAAAAGGTTTTACAGAGTTCATTTTAGATCTACGCAATACACTTTTATCAATTACAAAATATCACTTTAACTGTCAACGACTGACTGGAAAAAGTTGATTGATTCGATAGACAGTGCAGAACTTTATAATTCCTTAAAGAGAAATGTTATATCAAATCCACATTCCGTCTGTCACTTGTATCATTCTGTTTTTAACTGCACGCAAAATTTTGGTCAAATCAATTGTTGCGAATGCAGTTTGACGCTGATTTTACAGAGCGTTCAGAGTTTAGAACCCATATTTGTCTGTTTTAAAATATCTTTAAACTTTAAATCGTTATTCTAACTTTATAAAAAGACATGATCTTGGCATACTGCAGTGAGAATTGGAAATATTATTTCACAACTGCTACACAGGAAGGGGTCAATGAAAGACATAATGACTGTGGCAGTTAAACTTCAAGATCTTTTAAAAAATACATGTTTCTGCTGTCACTTTGTAGCAATTGCAGATGTTTCGTTTGTCATGAATGAGAACTAAAGTTTATAAAGAATTAAATTCGTACTACAATGGACGTTGATCGTTAAAAATGTCTAATGCTGTTGTCCGTCAAAAAAATTTGCCAGATTTTCATTAATTCTTGGACTATTCTAAAACAATGCGTCAATATCTTAAAACAAAATATTTGTGACAGAGTTGATTAAGTAATAATTGGAAATATCTTTATCAAATATTTGTATATCATATTAATTGCCATTTTTTGTGCAAATTTGGAAAAATGTTTGCTACGCCTCTGTATAGGTTTATGTGGAAAACAGGATAAACATCAACCTCCAAAAATGCAATATAAATTTAAGAAAACGCCGTTGTATTTTTTCTATATTGTTGTATGGACATAATAAATAGGGTTCAAAACTACAGACGGACATTCAAGCCTAGACCGAACAAAACTAATGTATATTTAATACTTGGAACAAATCTATCATCTATCTTTGTAGTAACGAAACGGAAAGCTGATAAAACTCTATACTGTAAGAAATTTAACTTTCCTGAATCAGCAATCAGTAACGAAGTAATCAAAATCGATACTATTTTTCTCTCTTGTATAAGTCATAATAATATAACACGTAACTTAGCGGCAATCACTTAGTTTCTAATTTGCAGGAAGATTTTTAGATAGTTGGCATACAATAGGTATTTCGCTGTTAAATGCAGAGTTATGTCTTTAATAAGTGTGTACCTGAAAGTTGTTCATACGACTGAGAACGATTATTTCCAATGAACCATTTTTATTTTAATTGTTTTAAAGACAAACGTCGTAAAAACTTGCAATTCAAAAAATTATTTTTGTAAGTCGCTTTTTGAATAATTGAAATTATAATTTGTTAAACATGTATATGTTCAATAATTTTTAACGTATTTAAGAAATTTGGCTACTAACAACGTTGCTATTGAGCACCTGCAATTTGGAGTATATTTTAAAATACTGAAATACTTATTTATTGTTGTTATATTTTCAAAAATACGGTCACTGTTTAAATAAAAACTGTTAACAACGGGTTATATATTGCAAGAATTTTTACTTAGCTTCTTGCACAAAAATAGAATAATCAGTATGATGTAAATAATCAATCAGTTATTATAAAATAAATAATTACTATTAGAGGATGCAAGAACTTACTGGATCAGTTGCCGTAGTTTGTATAGGACAATCTTCCTTATAATTCCAATCTTCACCGCTTCGGTAAAGCCAAAGACCCAACAAAGGCTTTCCTGAGCCACTCATTTCTTGTTACTTTGGTAAAGAGCCACAGGTTTGTAACGATTTAAGTCTTCGTATCTGCTTTTATAAACTCAACTTCCTATCGGAAAGACTGGCGCAGAACTTCTGGCTTTGATTGGCAGAATTACATTTAATGGCGACCTCGTAGTACAATTTTAGACATTTTCGTGCATATATATGATTTTTCTAAACACTGCCATTAAAAACATTTAAAAGACGGTCACCAGGTATTTAGGCCGTTTTGCTGCGTATTTGAGATGCTACGATATTCGATTCGATTATACATATACGCACATATTTATGGTTGATGGGGATTCGTCATCATGTGGTTAATTAAGTTTTTATAAAGTACTTGGTGCTTAAGATTTTGTAAAGTATGCGATTGGCTGTTAATTTCTTTGTTTTTTTTAAAGATTATTTCATTTAAGTTTTTTGTGAAAATATCTACGATCCTTTTAGTCACGATTTTAATGTTACTCACAGCCAGTGTTGAGACTAATATTTTTATGATATTGTGGTGGTGGAGGTATAATAAATGTCTAATACACACGTCGATATTTCAGACCACAAGAGAAGCCATTCTGGTCAATCGTTGCAATATTGTGATGATATAAACATACATTTGAGTTGTTAGTGCAAAAAAGTCATGCAATGCCAGAACTGCTTTTAAAAAATTAATCAGTAAATTTACCAGATAAATTTATTTTTTCCGTGCTGTTAATTCATGTGTTGTGATGTTATTAGAATTTACCTGAGATGTAATAACCGTATAGTCCTGGAAAACTATTTGACACTAAACAATATGGGATCAACAAAAATTGGCTAGACGATCTTGTCTTTCTCACTGCCTGTTTGCATAGCAACTAAAATCGGTGGCTTGTTCGTCCAGTGCTGATTAGAGACATTTTTTTGGTAGATCTACTTTCGATTCTTTGAAATACGTGATAAGATTAATATGGTGCAATATTCTCTGAAAAGTTTTTTATTTGTATCAAGGCGTAACAATTATGTACCCATAGTTTTAAATGAAATTATAAAGCATACATATATGTATTATTAACTAGCATTCCCATACAAAATTTTTAGAATTTTTGGATTTTTTAGCTGTTCTTTTAAGTTTTCCCTATTTTTTTTATTTAAAACCATCCCCGTAATATAAAAAATTCTTCAAATCGGTCAAGCCGTTTCTGAGTTTTAGCGAGATTAACAGGAATAGCAATTGATTTTTGTTATATAGAAGATTAAAAAATGGGGGTTGGTGGTAGAAAGGTGAAAATTTACGGTTATATGTATTTTTGATGCCAAATCTTAAAAAAATAAAAATAAAAAATTTTGTCCAAAAAATAGACAAACATTTTTTAGGGTGGGCCACCCTTATCACTTAGGGGTATAGAAAATAGTTTACAACCTATTCACAGACCTACCGAATATACATAAAAAATTTTATACAAATCGGTCAACCCATTTCGGAGGAGTTCGGTTACAAACACTGTGACGCGAGAATTTTATACATAAGTATAGATTATTACCTTCTTTCATTGTACAGCGTGATTACTGATCATAATAAATAAATTCTGGAATATTTCTGTTTCGAAAATATATAAACATGCTACTAAACTAAACAGTTGAAACCCAAATGCAACCATAAGTAGGTAGTGTATAAAGGATAGTATTTATACCTATGTATTTCAGCTAAAATTCGATGGCTAATCAATAGTGTAATTTTTCAAAAGGGCTGAATATGTTTTATGTTCTTCAGGGGCGAGGGAAGTTCTGTGGAAATATCCTTCAACCAATTTTTCATACTCTTGTGGTCATGATCATAAAACTTATTGGGTTGTGTATTATAGTAATCGCACTTTAACGGTCCACCAGAATCGATTAAAAATATATATGTACAGTGAATGGTCGAAAGTTGTTTCAATAGAACTTCCCTCCCGGCTGAAGTATAAGAAAATAGATCCAGAATTTCAGAAAAACTATAAAATTTAAATAAATTGACTCATTCATTTTTTTGAGCAACCTGTTAAGCAAATCTAAAAAATATGAATGGAATGATAAATTGCAAGTACAGACTAATCACATTTGTACATTTTAGATAGGACATATTCAGCAAAATTTTGGGGTGACGTCATCAATTTTTTAGGAGGATGAGCAAATACATTTTGATTAAAAATTGATCATGCTTATCATAACTGTAAATCATCTGCAAGATTTCAAAGCATTCGGTTTTCCAGATTCCAAATTAAATTGCAAAATGTTGTTTCATAGTTTTGATTTTTTTTCAAAAAATCTGGACGTTTCGGGTAAAAACTCAAATCCGTAGTCATAAACTACATTTATAGGGCTATGTTATTTTATACAATTTAAAACCCATTTACTATGTACAATTTTGAAGTGACGTCATCACATTATTGGTGGGGATGATTAGGCAAATGTTGGTTGGCGTTTTACCATCTATATGATATTCCTAATATAAATACAAAATTTCACAACAATCGGTCCAGTACTTTCGGAGATTATCTGTCTAGTAAAAATCCGGAACGGCAGACAGACGGACAAACGGACAGACAGACGGAAACGGGAGACCTATTTCTTCGTCTTCTAGGGGTCATGAAAGGGAAGTAAAAAGCGTGCTACGTGTATGTTTCAGTTGAGTTTTTACTCTACCAGATTTTGCGATAACGTCAGCAATTTTTTGGGGGAACAAACCGATATATTTTAATTAACAATTTACTATGCTTACAATAACTTTAAACCATCTGCATGATTTCAAAGCATTCGGTTTTGCAGTTCCTGATTTATTTAAGAAACTAAATTAATTGATTCATGATTTTATTTGAGCTACCCTATATAAGGAAATCTAAAAAATATGAAGAGTGATAAATCACAAGTATGGACCTATTACATTTTGCACATTATAGATAGGATTTATTCGGTAAAATTTTGAGGTGACGTCACCAGTTATTGGGGGAGATGAGCAAATATATTTCAATTAAAAATTTACCATGCTTATGTTAACTTTAAAACATCTGGAGCATTTCAAAGCATTCAGTTTTGCAGATTCAAAATTATTTGGTACTCTAGGGATCATGACCCATCGAGAAAGTATGAAAGCAACCAGTCGCCAGATAGAGTCGTTTACAATACTTCCTTAGCTTACGTTCGAGAAATAAAAATATGAATGTACATATGAACAGACAGCGGATGACCGTCGGGGCAGCGAAGGTCAAATTCGGTACGGGTCGTACGCACTCTGCTGTAAATTCCCGTTCTCATTTTCTTAGCCGTTTTACTAATTAAGTTTTCGTTAACTGTATTAATGGAATAAGTGACGGTTAAATTCAGTGATTATCACCCGCTACGGAGTCCCGGCGATCCAGCGCGTCCCCACCTATAATCGTGACGTAACCCGACAGAAATCCGCTTTCTAGTAATGAATGTTAAATCGGAAGTAGAAACTCATCATATTTTGCATATTTTTGATAGGATTTATTCGGTAATGTCATCATCAGTTTTTCTGGGGGTCGTAAACGGATAAATTTTGATCAACGATTTACCATATCTCAAAGATCAATTTTAGGATCTGTGTTATTTCTTCTATATGTTAATGATTTCTCTGAATTTTTACCTACCTGCAGATTTCTTAGTACAATTTGTGGATGATACCTCGTGTATCGCAGTTGTGAAATCCACTCCAGCGCTGTCGAGACAATCAACCTTTTGGTACATGAAATGATGGAAAGATCAGAAAATAACTGCATTAATTTTTGTTTTAACTTTGTGTTTTTCTTTTTGTGTAGTAAATTTTATACGCTTGTGAATTAGACTTTCATGTTGGCTTGTTACTTCCTGAGCGTAAGCATAGGAAGTATTGTAATCGAGTCCGTCGACCGACTCTCTACTTTTACGTTTTCTCGACTTTTCGTGACTCCTACAGTACGAATGAATAGGTCTCCCGTTTTCGTCTGACTGTTTGTCCGTCTGTCCATCCGTCTGTCTGTCTATCTGTCTGTCCGTCTCGGATTTTTATTAGACAGATAATCTCCGAAAGTACTGGTCCGATTGTTGTCAAACTTTGTATTTATATTACGAATATCATGTAGATGGCAAACCGCTAACCAAAATTTGTCTAATCATGCCCACCAATAATGTGATGACGTCACTTCAAAATTATACATAGTAAACGGGTTTTAAACTGTATAAAATACCATAGTCCTAAACATGTAGTTTATGAGTCCGTGTTGAGCTTTTACCCGAAACGTCCAGATTTTTGGAAAAAAACTCAAAATAAAAAACAACATTTTGCAATTTAATTTTGAATCTGCTAAACCGAATGCTTTGAAAACTTGCAGATGTTTTAAAGTTATGATAAGCCTGATGAATTTTTAATCAAAATATATTTACTTATCCCCTCCAAAAAATTGATGAACTCAGCCCAAAATTTTGCCGAATAAATTCTACCCAAAATGTGCAAAATACGATGAGTTTTTACTTGTGATTTATCATTGCATTCATATTTTTAGATTTGCTTAAACAGGTGGCTCAAAAAATAATAATGAATGAGTCAGTTTATTTTATTGATTAAATCAGGAACGGCTCACTCCATTTTTCTACAAAATTTTGGCAATACAATAAACTGTTATTTAAGTACTACACTGCACCAGTCCAAGTTGATATACGTGTTCTTGCAAAAATGTTGATGAGGTTATCACAAAATTATGTAAAGGAAAAACTCAACTCGAAAAGAGAAGAAAATAACGAGGGAAGGTCTGTCGAAACAACTTTCGACCAAATTTTTCTTCATGTTGAATTAGCTAATATCTTGTAATAAGTACTTTTAGTTTAATAAAGATATTATTATTATTAATAATATTGTTATTTTGCTTCATTAATTTCGTATGTGATGCGTAGTGTTGTACGAGTAATAAAAATGTCAACAGGTCTGGTAACGAAACCCTCGCTAGCGTTTGTAGACTTATATTGTGTATGTACTTTGTTGCGTTGGGGATCCCCTGAGGAAGCGATGAGTGTGAGGATATAATAATAATAATAATATTA